TCAGCAGAGGAAGTTTCAGGAACCTAACAGCATTGCAGTCGATTTTCATTACGAAATAGTACTTACACGCCAGTTGTTGCAACCAGAAGCCATTGAAACAAGCTTTTGATAAAGAGCTCAGATCGGTGGTTAAGAGAGCCAGGCCAGCAGGTGGGGCAGAGGTTAAAGTGCTGGATCTTACATGGCAGACTAAGTGCTGGGTGCGTGTGTGTGTGCCCGAAATCCCGAGAGGAGAATGGAAGAGAAGGATTACTGAATGGCCCCCCTGCTGGGGAGGGGGCAGTTTCTCCTTCCCAACCTTCCCCCCACTCCCATCTCTCACTGGTGAGCGCACATACCCTATACAAAAAAAAAGGAAGAAGAAGAAGAACCTTCCAGAGACCAGACCTGCAAGAGTGGCCCGGGGGTAGGAGTGACTTGTGTATACATCTGGCCTTTGGCTTTTTCACAGCTGTGTAACTTTTTTTAAAACTTTTTTTAAAGAATTACTTTATTTTTTAATTTTAAGAGGAGAGGAAAGGGAAAGCGAGAAAGCAAGCCACCAGGTCCAGGACTTGAATCGTGGTTGACCTTGTGGGAGTCCAGCACCCTTAACCAGCATGTCCGTGTAACTTTTCCCAGGTCACTTCCTACTGCAGGGTTCGGGGCAGTTCTCATTGTTGTGTCAACCTGGCTGTCCCCCCACCCCCACCAGCAGTTCTCTGTCAGCCCCTTTCCCGTCATACCGCTTGGCTCAGCAGGGGGAGACAAAGTTCCAAAGACACCACGGGCAGCTCTCCCCAGCCCCAAGAAATGCAACCTGGGCTTTATCTCATGGTGCTTATAAATTCTCAGCACCTACCCCACATCCATCACTGTTGGTAACCTGCCTGCCTGGTTTACCAAAGATGGAGATTATCTGAAGATCCTCCATGTGGAGGGGGCTCTGTCTCTGAATCCCTCTTCTCGGCCTTGGCGGAAGGCTCTGAGGAATAGATGTCTCCACCTACATCCTGCTGCCTGTGTTTGTTTTCTTTTCATTGCCAGAGGGTGCGCTCTAGAGAGACAAAAGAAGGGAGCAGACCCCCCACCCCCCCACCACCCACGCACATGTATCCAGCATGTCTTTCAAGCCGCCAGTGCCAGGATTTGAACCGCAGTCAACCTTGTGAGATCCAGCTGCCAGTGCTCCATGCTCCCTTTACTTACCTTCTCTTCACGCTTGTTCTTTGGTGTTCAGGTCTCCAAGCCTCTGAACTGAGGCAGCGGGAAAGGAGACGCCCTCAGGCGTCCTGGATCCCTTCTTCCATGGACTGAAGGGGTTCTACAAATGGGTGGTCTCCTGCAAACCCCATTTTCTGTTCATCTACTGTCCTTCCACAGACCTTGGGATCTGGCCTGGAATTACAGAGTTGAGCGCTCACAGAGAGCTTCCTCTCCCTCCTTCCCCATACCAGCTGGTCACTGCCTTGCACTGGCAGGTTGTTCTCTTCCAGCCCCAGAGTGCTGTCTGCTGGGAGGTCATTCCATCACTGCACAGCGTGAGCCGTGAGAAGGTTTCCTGTCCTCTCGGGGGAAAATCTAATTTCTGCCACTGAAGCAGCACAGGTGTATTTTTTCTTTCAATAAATTTGAAGACCACTTCCATCTTTCCTTTTCTAAATCTTCAAAGCCTTTAAGATTTAGGCCTCTAATCTTACATTTTTATTGAAATGACTTCCTCTGCTCTTGCTTTCTGATCCAATCTGGCAGTTTCCGATTTTTACTTTTGAAATTGTTGGCTACCTTCTCATGCGTTTTTTTTTTTTTTAAGCTGATTCATTTATTTCTCTCATGAGCAAAAAAGACAAGGAGAGAAATGCCTAGATATGGCACCCTCCACAGTCCTTTAAAAAAATTATTTTTCGGGGCCAGCAGGTGGTGTTGTAGTTAAGGGTGGTTAAAGATTGCGATTTGAGTCCCAGACCTGGAGGCTTGCTTTCTCACTTTCCCCCTCTCTCTCTCACTCTGTCCCTCTCTGGTCAAATAAAACCAAGTAAATAAATAAAGTCAAATAAAATAATTCTTTAAAAACAAATATTTTCAGGCCAGCAGATGGCGTAGTGTTCAAGGTTTTGAACTTCCACATGGCTGACCGTGGTTTGAGTCCTGTACCCAGTGGCTTGAACATCATGCCGAGTGGGTGGGCGTGCGTGTGTGCCCCAAATCCTGAGAAGAAGACTGAAGGAGAAGAGATTGTGGTGTAGCCACCTTCCTTGGGGGTGTAATTTCTCACTTTTCCCTCTCACTTTTCAGTGAGCACATGTGCCTTCTGGCAAAAACCTTTAAGATATTGTTTTTCTTTTTATTCATGATAGAGCACATGTGTGCACACTGAGAGCAAGAGAGAAACGAGCACCTCCATGGGATCTGACCCCACGCTCCCCTTCCTCCAGCCCTCCAGCTCGTCAGATCTTGTGCCAAGTGTTTCAGGCTCACAGGCTGGGGATTCAAACTGTGGTTGTTGTGTGGGGTCCGACTGCTCAAGCAGCACGTTATCGCTGCACCGTGGAGCAGGCCCCCAACAGGGTCTTGGCACCACAGCCCGCCTCAGCTTCAGCCAGCCCCAGATCATGGGCACGCGTGTGCCCGGAGTACTTCGGGAGGTCTCAGCACGGACCTGGAAGCTTTCCACGTGCCTCAGCCTTGCAGGGCGTTGTGCTTCCCTGACCCACCATCCAGCCTCTTTATCATTCTTTCAACTTCACTTTGATTTCCCCTTTTCCTCCTAATCCTCAATTCCAAGAAAACTCTTCTAGACCACACTGTTCTAGAGAATCTCGCTCAGACTCTTTTCAACCTTGTCACCAATCTGCAAAACTCTAGAAAGTCAGGACTGCTTTTTACTCATGTAAGAAAATCCACTGGTACATGCCTGGCAGATAGGAGGGAGGATTTAGTAAATGTTTAATTTTCTTTTTTTAAAAAATGTATTTATTATGATTATTATTATTTCATTTGACCAGAGAGAGAGTGAGTGAGCAAGAGAGAAAGTGAGAAAGCAAGCCACCAGGTCCAAGACAGACCGTGACTGGCCATGCGGGAATCCAGCACCGTAACCACCATGTGACTGGCCGGCCCCAGCAAATGTTTAATTTTCTAGTTCTAGTACTCTTCGTTTTTTCTTTTCTTTTCTTTTCTTTTCTTTTCTTTTCTTGGAGAGGTTTTTGCTATAGGGCACGTGCTTGCCAGAAAGAGAGAGACACAGAGACAGAAAGTGAGAAATCACCCCCCAGGGGGATGGCCACACTGCAATCCCTTCTCCTCCTTTCTCCTCTCAGGATCTTGAGCACGCACGCACACACGCCCGGCTTGAGTTTAAGCTACCAGGTTCAGGACTAGAACCACAGCTGACTACATGGGAGTCCAGCGACATAGCCATTATGCCAACTGCTGGTCCCTAGTTCTAGTATTTTCTTCAGAAATTTCACTTTTTCCATATTTTCCTAATGCCTACAAATGACTATACAAGGAGAGTTCGAAAAGTTCGTGGAAAAATAATTTGGTACCCCAAAAAGAAGCCCATGCATATGAACTTTTTTGAAGATCCCTTGCATTTATTTCTGGTTTAAGCTTTTTTTTTCTAACTCTTTATTAATATTAAATTGCCCAGAGATCTCTAGGATGTCCTGATTTATTAGGATATCAGAAAAGTCATAACGTATTTTTGCGTTAGAAAAATATATTATGGTTTTTCCAATGACCCAATAATACACCTAATTTTCTCACTCAGTCCCAGAAAATCTGCTACCCACAGAACTTTCTTAGTGGCCATGGTTCAGTAAGCTGCTTGAAATGTTTTCTAGTCATTAGGCATCAAGACACATCTAGATCCTGGGTGAGCTGGTGGTGTGGTGGTTAAGGCACTGGATCCCACTTGGCTGACTGCGGGGTTTGAGTCCTGTGCACAGAGACTTGAAAAACATGCTGGGCACGTATGCATGCATGCCAAATCCTGAGAGGAGAATGGCAAAGGGATTGCAATGTAGCCATCTTCCTTGGGAGGTGTTTTCTTACTTTCTACTTCATTTATCAAAGGGCCAACTGTACTCACTATATCTTCTATATTTCTTTTTTTAAAGTTTACATATTTTTTTCATGACCAAAAGAGACACAGATAGACACACAGCTGACAGGGTCTTGATGCCGTGATCCTCTCCAGCCTCAGCCAGCCCTGGTTCATGAGCAAGTATGTGCCTGGCATATTCAGGGAAGTCTCTGGACTTGAACCAGGAATCTTCCCATGTGCCAGGACATGTTTTAGTGTTGTGTCATCTCTGGCTTTTACGTTGTGAGTTCGTTTGTTTGGTTTTGGATTTTTGCCATAGGTTACATGTACTCATGGGCGAGAAACAGGCAGAGAGAGAAAACGTGAGAAATCACCCCCTGGGGGATGGACACACCAAAATCTCTTCTCCTTCAGTCTCTTCTCAGGATCTTGGGCACACACGCACATGTACTTGGTGTGATTTTTCAAGCAAATGGGTCCAGGACTCGAACCATAGTCAGCCATATGAGAGTCCAATACCTTAACCACCACACCACCTTATTTTCTGTGTTCTTGCTGCTCTGTCATTTGTAGCCTCAAGAGACTGCCCCTTCCAAGGCCAGCCAATTCTCAGAACAAAGGGCTGGCCCAGAAAGCACCTTTCATATGCAGACTGTTTAATCCAGAGCACACCCCCCCAACCATCTCTTTTATCAAATGTACACACCAAGTCAGTATTTCCTGCCTTAAATCAATCCAGGGACAGGAACCAGAGGCCTAGGGACAGTCCCTATGGCCCAGAGCTTGCCAGAATCGTTCCAACTGGCCACCCTAAACTGTTTACCATGTCCTGGCTTGCCCTTTCTGCAGAAAACACAAGGGCATTCTGTTCTGGCTTTTCCTTTGCCCTTCTGCCTCCTGACCAAAGGCGGTGCCCCACATGGCTCTGCATGGCGTGGCGTGCTCCTCCTCTCAGGAACTGCAGGTAAGAAAAGTCATCTTGTGGCACTGACCTCTCTGTCTTGTTACTCAGTGACCTCTAAGTACCATGGGACGAAGCTGCATTTATGTTGTAGCATGTGTTCATCTTTATTCCTCTTTATGGCTATTCCATATTTTGTTTATTCATTCTTCAGTTGGTTATTCCCACTTTTTGGCTATTTTGAACAATGCTTCTGTACACATTCATGTATACGGTTTTGTGTGAACATGTTTTTAATCCTCTTGGCTGTATCCTCAGGTGTGGCTAGCCGGGTCACGTGGTAAATCTAGACTGAACATTTTGAGGAGCCACCATTTTCCAAAGTGGCTTCACCATTTTATAATCCCACCAGAAGTCTGTGAAGGTTCCAATTTCTTTTTCCTTTTAAAGAATTATTTTATTTAACTTTATTTATTTATTTACTTATGTTTTAATTTGATCAGAGAGGAACAGATTGAGAGAGAGAGGGAAAGTGAGAAAACAAGCTGCCAGGTCCAGGACTTGAACTGTGTTCAGTCATATGGGAGTCCAGTGCCCTTAACCACTGTGCCACTTGCCAGCCCCTCCCCCCCTTTGGAGATATTTTTTTGTTATAGGGCACGTGCGCTCACCAGAGACAGAAAGTGAGAAGTCACCCCCTAGAGGGGATGGCCACACCTCAATCCCTTCTCCTCCATTCTCTTCTTGGGATTTTGGGTATGCACACACATGTGCCTATTATGAGTCTGGGACTCGAACTACAGTCAACTACATGAGAATGCAGCAGCTTGACCATTATGACCTCTGTTGGTCCCTGAAGGTTCCAGTTTCTTCACGTTTTCACTGATGCCTGTCTTTTGAAAAATTCCAGCTATCTTAATAGATTTGAAGTGGTGGTTTTGATGTGTATTTCTCTCCTGACCCATTACAGCACATCATTTTATGTCCTGAATGGCCATTTGCGTGTCTTCTTCGGAAAAATATCTCCTTGGCTCATTTTTAGAAAATGTTTTGTGCGTTTTCAGACATTTATCTGTTTCATGAGACACTATACACACATGCATGCATGCGTGCAGACAACAGGCACCCTCAACAGGGTCTTCAAACCTCAGGGTCTTCAAACCCCCAGCTTCAGCCAGCCCAGTCCCGGGCATTATGTGTGCCCAGCATGTGCTAGGAGACCAGGATGTGAACGCAGGACTTCCCATGTGGCTTCGGCCTCACACAGCATGTGTTACTGCTGCACCACCAAAGCTGGCTTATTTGTCTCTTCATTGCTAAGTTGAAAGTGTTCTTTCTGTGTTCAGATACAAGTTCTGTGTAAGATAGATGAGTTGCAAATCTTCTGTAGGCTGTTTTTTCACCTTCTTGCTGATGTCTTTTGAAAAACAAAATTGAAAAACTTTGATGAAGTGCAATTTATTTTTTGTCACTTTCGACTTTGGCGTCATATAAAAAAATATCTTTGCCTAATGCAAGGCTATAAAAATGTACTTTCATGCTCTCTTCTAAGTTTTATAGTTTCTACTTTTTTTTACATTTACATACATGATCCATTTTGAATACTTTTCTTGGATATAGTAGGAGGTGGAAGGCAAGGGTTTTTTGTTTTTTGTTTTTTTTGCACATGGATATCCAGTTTCTCAGCATCATTTGTTGAAAAGGCTACTCTTTCTCCCATTGAATTGTCTTGTCCTCTTCATTGAAGATCAATTGGCCTAAATGTAAGGGTTTATCTCTGGACTCTCACCCCTACTCCATTGGTCTATAACCTATCTTTATGTCAACAGCACACAGTTCTGGATACTGAGCTTTGTAGTAAATTTTGAAATTAGGGGACCACATGGAGCGTGGTGGGTAGAGTGGCTGGTACCATGTGGCTGACTGTGTGGTTCCAGTCCGGGAACTGGTTGCTTGAAGAACATGTCTGGCACATGTGCATGTGTGCCCAAAGTCCTGAGGGGACAAATGGAGGAGAAGGGATTGTGGCATGGCCAGCCCCAATAGGGGATGTGTTCTCAACTTGTCTTTCTCTCTGGTGAGCATACAAGCCGTCTAGCAAAAATAAAGAAAAAGAAGAAGAAAAACAAAATAAAACAAAAATCAAGAAGTGTGAGTCCCTTAACTTTACTCTTCTTTTACAAAATTAGTTGGAGTTTCTGGTTCCCTTGCATGTTCATGTGAATTTTAGAATTAGCTTGTCAATTTCTTTTCTTTTTTAAAAAATATTTATTTTTAATTGTTATTATTTAATTTGCTATAGGGCATGTGCATGAGAGAGAGAGCAACCCGCCAGGTCCAGGACTCAAACTGTGGTCAGCCATGTGGGAGTCTAGCACCTTAACCACCACGCCACTTGCTGGCCCCTAGCTTGTCAATTTATACCAAAAAAAAAAAAAAAAAAGCCAATATTTTGATAAGGATTGTATTGAGTCTGAAGATCAATTTGAGTAAGGCCATGTTACCAATATTAACCCTTTTAGTTCATGAATATGAAATTATTTATTTAGGTATTTATTTAGGTTTTCTTTTATTTTTTTCAATGATGTCTCATTGAAAGTTTTTATTGCACAAATCTTATTGTTTCTGAGATTTGGAGATAGAAAGCTACTGCCTAGGTAGGGGAAAATTGAGGGTCTCACAATGTAAGTTCCTAAAGTAACATTTGAAGAAGGGAATAGTCAAGGAAGATGAGAAGGTCGAATTAACGAGGCATATTGCATTTGACCGTGAGATGTGAGGGAGATGGATTTGCGGAGAATAACCTGAGTTTCTGAGGTGGAGATCTTGGTTGTCTGGTTGACTAACCCAAGATTCAATTTTCTCATCTGTAAAACAATAAAAATACTTTACAGATAACACAGCATATGATTGGGACTCAGTGACAGTGGTGATGAAATGAACTTCCTATCTTTTTTGTTCTTCCTCATTTTATTGGTTTCTTTTCTTTTTGATAGGTTTTGGTCTTAGGTACCTGTGCTCACCAGAGAAAGAGACGGAGACAATGAGAAGGAAAGTGAGAAATCACCCCTCTGGGGGGATGGCCACACCACAATCCCTTCTCCACCCTCCTCCCAGATTGGGGCACACTTGCATATGTGCCCGGCGTGATTTTCAAGCCACTAGGTCTGGGACTTGAACCGTGGTTGGTCATGTGGGAGTCCAGTGATGTAATCTGCTACGCTACCTGCTGGTCCCTCATTTCTGTTTCTTCCATTCGCTTCACGTCAGTCTTCAGATGCTGCTTTCCATTGCCATGACCCACAGTTCTCAAAGTATTGTGGATGGCTTGTGAATAGCTCTTTGTGGCTCCGATCACTCACATAAGCATTTTCAACTGTGTTCTGGTCATCTAGATGGGCTCTCAGCTCACAGGGAGGACTGCTCCCAAATCTTTCTCCTGATGTCCATATGCCTACTAATGCAGCTGCTGTTATGGCAGGCAGACTGCTTTAAATCATTTTCATGGTTGGAAAAACACATTTACCCCTAGTGGCTCCTAGTATCTGAGTCATCTGTATCCTTTTCTCTCCCTCTTTTTCTCACATCCAGTGACTATCTGGGCTCTGTTCAGGCATCTCTCTAATATACACACCTTTTTCCTTTTCTGTCCCACTGTTACCACCCTGGTTTAGACCTTCATCACTCCCACGTGGACTAAAACACTCACCTCTCCCTCTGTTTTCTCCCCTTTCGATCCTCCTCCACGCAACCAAATATTAGACTAAACTTCTTGAAGCTCATTTCATCACCACCGTCACCCTGTTGTTACCCTGTTGAGTCTTCAGTGGGTTCCCCACACTCACAGGATCAAGCCCAAGCTCTTAAGCTTGTCATTTAAGGTACTCCATGTTCAAAGCCCACATGGTTTTCCAGTTTTTAATTTCATAGGAGAGAGATGGGGAGACAGGAAAGTGTCCGTGACTGGATCTGGCCATGCCACAGTCCTCTCCCTAGTCTCCCAGCCAGCCAAGATCATAGGTGTGCCCGTCCCAGGGCGTTCAGGTTGCCTTGGATCTTACCTAGGCTTTCTACATGCGCCTCCAGTATCACACAGCAGGGCCACCTACCGCTGTGCTACTGTGGCTGTGCCCCTTTGTGGTTTTTTGTTTGTTTGTTTGTTTTGTTTTTTGAGAGATTTTTGTAAGTAGAGTGCCTCTACTTGCCAGAGAGACAGAGACAGAAAGCCAGAACTCATCCCCCTGGGGAGTTGGCCACACTGCAGTCCTTTCTCTTCCATTCTCCCCTCGGGATTTTAGGCATACACACACGTGCCTGGTGTGTTTTAAGCCTCCAGGTCTGGAACTCGAACTGCATTCAACCACATGGGAGTCCAGAGCTTAAACACTATGCCACCTGCTGGCCCCACCCCTTTCCAGTTTTATGTCCCCACATCCTTACAGAAAAATGGGTCAATCCTTCACACCTGTGTCTTCCATTCTGGAAACTGTGCTCCAAGGCACATTCACGAATCCCTCCCTGACTCTCATCAAGCCAGAGGTTGTCCTCCCTCACATTCCGTGGGCTCTGTGTGTTTAATGGGTCTGTGCACATGTCTCTCCTACTGGAGTTAAGCTCCTCGAGAGTGCCACCGTCGTCCCTGCAGCCCTCCAGAGCCTTCCTCGTATTCAGGAAGTGTCTGCTGATGGAAGGTGCTTCGTGCCCTGTCTTCCTGAATCACACAGGCACGGCCTTGGCTCTCCCACAAGGGCCCGTGACAAGACGGCAGAAGGATGGAGAGCGGCAGCTTCTCCCTGCGGACCCTCTTCCTTCTTCACCAGAGCAGCGCGAGGCTGTTACGCGGACACGTCCTTACATTTCTGGTAATGCATCTAGCAACATTTGGTGGGTTTGATGTCGTCCCCTCTGCACTTAATTCTTTAAGAATTATTTATTTATTGTTATTATTTTTAGAGGGTTTTTGTTTTTGCCGTAGGGCATTCATGGATGCCAGAGAGAGAAAGAGACAGAGACAGAGACACTAAGAGGGAAAATAAGAAATCGCCCTCCTCAGTGGGGATGGCTACGCCGCAATCCCTTCTCCTTCATTCTCCTCTGGGATTTTGGGAACACAGGTACACACACCCAGTGTGATTTTCAAGGTCACCAGGTCTAAGCCTTGAACCACGGTCAGCCATGTGAGAGTCCAGTGCTCTAACCTCTATGCCATCTGCTGGCCCTTGTTATTATTATTTTTAAATTTGTCATAGGGCAAGTGTGCTCACCAGAGAGAGACAAAGAGAAAGTAAGAAAGCAAGCTCCTAGGTCTGGAACCTGACCGACCCATGACTGGCCACATGGGAATCCAGTTCCTTAACCACCATTGCCATGTACGGGCTCAACACTTGTTCTTTATAGGGCTTGTGTGGATGGAGGCTGTCAGGGTCTCCAGAAGAGTCAGATAGACTGAGAAAGTAATCCAGAGGCCATGCAGTTGTGTAGAGCTGTAGGTATCTGTCTGTTTTTTTTCTTTTTTCTTTTTCCCCTCAAAGAATCTAGAACTTAAACCCACAAACTTCTTGGGAACTTCCTGTCAAATAACTGGCCAGGTGATTCATTTGGCAAATTCCATAAGGTCTGCCCTGCCCTGCTTGCCCGAGCTGGGAAGGAGGTGGCTCTCCCTTCCAGTTCCCTGTGATCAGTGGTTACCAGGGGCCAAGAGACCTGGTTCCTGTTCCGCCTGTCTCCTGGCAGCTAGACCAGGAAGGAGAGCAACTGTGCAGGGCGCCAGGTGCTGGCGGGGGCACCGAGCCCTTGGCAGTGCTCCAGATAGCATCTGTGGCTCCCGGTGATTCATCCTCACCAGGCCTGCCCACTGGGATCCTCCCATGACAAACCCAGTGCCTTTCCCGGGCTCCTTGGGCTGAGAAGTGGAGGTGGGGAGCCGCTGCCGCTCTGGGAGGCTGTAGTGGCTTCTTTTCTTTTCTTTTTTCTCTTTCTGTCTTTCTGTCTTTCTTTCTTTCTTTCTTTAAGCTTATTTATTTCCATGAGTAAGTGAGACAGAGACAGCAACCCCGACAGGGTTTTGATGCTGCGGTCCGCCCCAGCCTCGCCAGCTCTGGGCCTGGGCACGCGTGTGCCTGTGCAAGCAGGGAGTGTCCAGATGCAGACGCAGCCCTTCTCCTGGGCTCGGCCTCACAGAGCGTGCATTTCACTGCTGCACCCCTGCGCCACCACCTGACCCTCCATGCCTTCTTAAAGGGCTCCCTGTTCCCCTCTGCATTAAGTCCAAACTAGTTTTGGAGCAGAAGTTTTAGGGGCCGGCCTAAAGGTGGGGTGAGCCGAATGGCGCTCCTCTGTCGGCTGGTAGTACCTGACCCGTCCCCGTCGATTCTGCGTTCCGTTCTCTTTCTTTGTACCAGTCTTTCTTTTTAAAAGGGTTATTTATTTATTTAATTCCATTTGTTATTATTATTTTTTAATTTGACCAGAGAGAGACAGAGAGAGAAAGAAAGGTAAAGTGAGAATTCAAGCCGCCAGGTCTGGAACTCGAACTGTGGTTGGCCATCCAGCGCCTTTAACTATCACCCCCCCTGCCAGCCCCTTAGTATTCTTTTTTTTTTTCCCATTTAGAATGTTTAAAAATTTATTAATTTTAATTATTTATACATTTAATTGCTACAGATCATTTAGATTGTGAAGACACTTTACCCAGCACGATACACACCTCAGTCCGGCCCAGCTGAGACCACCATACACATCCTCATCGACAAGTAAGGAATCATAGCTGTGACCCACAAATGTCCTACCTCTCTGTTTCCCCCCGAATTTCCTTTCCTACACTCTTTTCCCCTTTGGATACCACTCTTTTCTCTTTTCTTTCTTCCTTTGCCCAACAAGAATAATATTTATTTATAAAATCACAATGTTGAATTTGGGCTTCTTAGGATAATTTTTCAGCCAGGTACACCCACGTCTCATGGTGGGTCCTCACCCACTGCTGGAGTGACTGGAGAGGGCACCCCTTGCTCTCAGCAATGAACCCCGCTAGTGCAGGTCCAGGCCCCGGTTCGCCACACTGGCCCTTTCTGACCCACAACACAATCGTTCTTTCAAAAACCAGTCTGGGGACCAGCAGATGGTGTAATGGTTGCGTAGTCGGATTCCCACATAGTTGACCGCTGTTTGAGTCCCTGACCTGGCAGCTTAAAACACACCAGGCACATGTGCGTGCGTGCCTAAGATCCTGAAAGGAGAGTGGAGAAGGGATTGTAGCATGACCACACCCCTGGGGGAGGGGGTGATATCTTGCTTTCTGTCTCTCTGTCTCTTTCTCTCTGGTGAGTGCATGTGTCCTATAGCAAAAATCTCTCTAAAAAAATGAAAACAAGAAAACATCCTGGTGCTGTATGTTGCTTAAAAATGAGCCCTTCATGTGGTCAGCCCAGCAGGCTCAGGCACACCCTCGCCAGCTGAGCCCGTCTCCCTGATCAATGCACAGCTCCCGCGGGTGTCCGACTTTATTCCGGACAAGTAATTTCACTGCTGTTGCACTGTCACAAAACTGATATTCTTGGATCTGCTCAAGTGAAAACCATGAACTGGCCCCGTTTGGCCCTCAGGGAGGGAGAGTGTGGCCTTCCAGCTCTGTGGAGATCTCCAGTAGGAGCGCCGGCCCGGAGGCTTTATAGAAATCCAGGTTGGGGTACTGGTCTAGGGTGACATGGTACTGCCTGGTGAGAGTGACAGCGTGGTGTTTTCCTGTGTCCCCTCCTGATGTCACACAGCACACGTGCTCTGAGAGAATCAATTTTAGGAACACGCTAGCCAATGTATTAATTTCCCAAAGAGCAACACAGTGAAGGACTGGGCGCCATGGGGGTTACGCCCAGGCAGGCTAGAATGTAGTTGGCTGGTGTGGATGACGCGTCACTTTTGTACAGGAATCAAAACTTGTGATAAATACGAACAGGTCCCCAGATCCCAGCTAGTTTTCCAGCCTTGGCGGACCACTCATTTCTTTCAGACACATTACACAGCAACGTAAAGCGCAGGGATGGTGTTCTGAGTTTCACTGCAAAAGCTAACATGGGGCAGGGAAACTTGAGGATTTGGGGGGAGGGCTATAGGGCGTGTGTGCTTGTAGGAGAGACAGAGAGAGACAGAGAAACAGAAAGAGAGAAATCACACACACACACACACACACACACACACACACATACCACATACCCAAGGTGGATGGCCAGGCCACAGTCCCTTCTCCTCCATTATCCTCTCAGGATTTTGGGCATGCACGTACCCGTGCCTACCTGAGTTTTAAGCCGCTGGGTTTAGGTCTCAAACCACAGTTGACTATGTGGGAGTCCAGTGATGTAACCATTACGCCATCTGCTGGTCCCAACCTGAGATGTTTTAAAACAGCTTTCCTCTTTCTCATCAGAGCAATCCCTTGAAATGGGTAGGAAGGAGATGGGTAGGACAGTGTCCCCCTGTCGCGAGGGCACTGAGGCCCAGCCAGATTGTCATTCTGCGTTATTCACAAGGGCGCAGACGTGGCTGGCGCCGCTGGGGTTTCTCCCCAATCTGTGTCCGATGTCCACGAGGCTGCTCTTTTTTCAGTAAGCCTCTTTCACGTGAGAATCAGAACTAACCCGCCCCTGTGGGACCTGAGCTCTGAGTGGTTCTGCTCCAGTGGGAACGGGTTCCCTGAGTTAGCGAGGCTCCTTCCGGGAACCGTGTGCAGCATGTGGCATTCAGAATTTGTGCCAACTTCCCTCAGTACGCTCCCCGTGCAGTGTCAGGACCCGCTCCTCTGGCACCTGCGGCCCTCCCAGACCTGTCCTGCTGACGTCCCTTGACTTTCTCTTGGCATGTCATTTCTCATCAGATTGGCCCTTTTCTTTCTCTCTCTCTTTTTTTTTTTAAAGAATATTTATTTTTAATTTAGTATTATTATTTTAAAATTTGCTCTAGAGCACTCACACTCACCAGAGAGAGAGTGAGAAAGAGAGCTGCCACATCCAGGACTCAAACCATGCTCAGCCATGTGGGAGTCCAGCACCCTAACCTCACACCACCAACTGGCCCCTGGCCCTTTCCTTGCCCTCTCCCTGATTTGTGGGGCAGAAGAGCAGAATGGCGAGCTCTGCACCCCTAGAAATGCTTCCATTCACCCTGCGTGTTGTGAAGCAGCTGCCACGTGATGGTTATGGTGCTGGACTCCCACATGGCTGACAGTGATTCAAGTCCCAACCTGGCAGCTGGAAACTCACGCTGGGCGTGTGTGTATGTGCGTGCCCAAAATCCCAGGAGGAGAGTGAAGGAAAAGGGATTGTGGCTGGTCCATTCCCCTAGAGGGTGATTTCTCACTTTCTGTCTCCATCTCTCTCCATTGAGGGCACGTGTGGGTCAGCCTTGCAGAACAAAATGTTTAATCCCTGGGCCTCATCTGGTCCCTAACCCCTGAGGTTTGGCCTAGCCCCTTTAGAGCTGTTTTATTTTGGTTTTGCTAGTAGAACATATGTAGCAAAAATGTCGCCACTAACCATTAGTAAGCGTATATTCTGTGGCAGTGATTACATTCATGGCATTCTAGAACCATCCCCATTATTTCCAAAACTTTATGTCACCCCAAACAGAAACTCTGTACCATTACGCAATAACTCCTCACCCCCACCCCTTCCTCCTGCCCCAGCCCTGGTAATCTTTTATCTATTTCTGCCTCATCTATTTGCCTAGTCTAGCTATTTCACAAAACTGATCACACAGTGTTTAGCCTTCTGTGCTGGGTCATTGCACTTGGCGTAATGTGTTTGCGGTTCCTCCGTGCTGTGGCATTTATAGGAACTTCATTTCATTGCATGGTTTGCTCTTAGTTCCCTTATCTACTCATCTGTTTAGACACATGGGCTGTCTTTTTTGGCTACCATGAATAGTGCTGCAATGAACGTTGGCATACAAATATCCCAGTCCCTGTGTCCATCCTTTCTTTTCTTTTCCTTTTTTTTTTTTTTTAGAAAGATTTTTGCTATAGGGTGTGTGTGCTCCCCAGAGAGACAGAAAGCAGGAAATCACCTCCCAGGGGGATGGCCACACTGTAATCCCTTCTCCTCCAGTTTCCTCTCAGGATTTTGAGCACACATGCACAAGCGCCTGGCGTGAGTTTCAAGGCGCCGGATCTGGGACTCAAACCGTAGTCTGCTGGTCCTGCTTTTTTTCTTTCTTTTCTTCTTTGAAATACATATATAAGAGTAGGGACCAGCAGATGGCATAATGGCTACATCACTGAACTGTCATGTAGTCACCCGCGGTTTGAGTCTCAGACCTGGCAGCTTTAAACTCACACAAGGTGCATGTGCGTGCGTGCCCAAAATCCCAAGAAGAGAATGGAGTAGAAGGGATTGCAGCATGACCATCTTCCCTGGGGAGTAAATTTTTGCTTTCTGTCTCTCTTTCTCTGTTTCTGGTTATATATATATATATATATGGAATTGTTACATAATATGGTAATTCTATGTTAGCTTTTTAAGGAATCCACTGTAGAGTGTTTGCCTATTTTTTTGTTTGTCTTTGCTATAGGGCATGTGCATTCACCAGAGAAAGAGAGAGAGAGGGAAAGTGAGGTGTCAGCCACCAGGGAGGATGGCCACAGCATAACCCCCCCTCCTCTCGGGATCTTGGGCATGCATACACATGTGCCCAGCATGTGTTTTAGGCTGCTGGGTCCATGACTCGAACTACAAAGTCGGGCATGTGGGATCCAGCACCTTAATCCCCATGCCACCTGGTTGGCTCAGAACCCACTCTAGAGTTTTTAAAATTTGAATTAGTTAACAAATGTTGAAAATGAGGGATTATTCACAAAATTAGTTTTTTTTTCAACATTTCTTGAAAATAATTAGAAGCCTGGCATTGCTGGGACTACTTTCTGCAGGAATGTGACCTGGGGGATGAGTGGGGACTGCCCTCCCTCTGGGGGAGTCATCGGGTCTCCAGCTGGCATCAGACCTTTGGGCTCCAGGCCTGGACTCAGCTCTGTGCCTTTGTTCGGATCCTGTCCCTCAAGCCTTCATCCACCCCGACCCCATACCCCGCCTCCTGGCTTCGCACTCACTCTGCCTTGGTATGTGCTACACGCTTCCCCTCTGGCCACCTGGGCTATGATCATCGAGGCAGGGCACGATCTCATGTCTGATTTGCCCATGTCCAACCGATGTAGTATCGGTGTTCAGCCTTTGTTAACTGAGAAGTTATAAATTGAATAGCTGAGGTCAGGACAGAGCCACCTGATACAGTTATGACTGATCAAGTCATCCAAGTGCTAGACTGCATCGTAGGGCATCGTAAGAAAAGGGAAATAACTAAAAGTGGGGAAATGAGTTACAAATTGCAGGTACTAAGGGAAGGGCAGGCCACTTCCTAATTCGAAATATTTCTTCATTAGGGTTTTCTTACTATATCCTTCATGTCTGTCGTCTGATGAAAGTCATCTAAAAGGTGATTATGGGAAACAAGTACGAAATAGAATTAAAATATGATGTCTAGCTCCATATATGAAAGACTAATTCATACCATACATTGGGTCATCAGGAAAGTCATGACGCATTTTTGCATCAAAAAATACATCGTAACTTTCTCAATGACCTAATATAAAAACTAATTCAAAATGGAATCACACACCTAAATGTAAGAGCTAAAACTAAGAGTTGCAACCCTC